AAAGTGTTTTTTCTTAAATTAGTGTTCCTAAGGATTCACGTGAGAGTTTCGCCGAAACGCGTACTTCTGCGTTACGACTATTTTCTGATGTGGGGGTTCAATCCAAAGGCCTTCCGATTCAAGGTTCCAATGCTGACTAACAGAGACACTTCGAGTGGAAGAAATTCACCTCGCAATCAGGATAAGAGATAGTGTGCATTTATTTTTTAACCTTGAACCGAAACGACTGACCAAACAAAAGTTTTCCCTGAAATTCAAGCTAATTGTTTTTTACTCTACCAGTCACGGTAGGCCTAGCTCGCACCCTGATCTACCAATGTGGCAAAAAACCAATTTTGGGCCCTTCAAGTGAGAAGCGCAGCACCCAAGTGTCGTGCTCACCGGTGCAGTCAGATTATCGGATTAGAAAATTTACGTGGCACAAACTTGCGTAATATCCGTACGTTATTCCCCAAGCCTTTCAACAGGTCGAGCATCGGTTTGGGTACATGCCGTGCTGTTTGGGCAACGTTCTGGTGGGAGATTGATCGTCGTGGCGGAACAAAAGGTCGGAGGAGGCTGATGTGGAACGCATCGTGCACACGCTAGTCGTCGAAATGCAGGAGTTTCGCCGTCACCAGGGTTATCATCTTGACAAAGGGTCCCCAATATCGCGGGCGGAGTTTTGGCAAAATAGGCGGTCAAAGTTTCTTCGTGTCGAGTAGGACTAGTTGCCGAACGACCATGGTCATTTCTCGGCATTGCAGATCAAAGCATTTACTGATGGAAAGCACGCGAATCTCGAGAGCGTACAAGAGATTAAGTCCGCCGACTTCGACGGAACATTGCGTGCAGCTCACGAAACCTTAAACTATGAGCAGGTATGCGTTGGAAAGGTCTTAATATCTACTTTCCAGAACGGTAACGTTCGTCTTCAACCAAGATGTAGGCCGATCGCTATCGCGATTTAAGTGCGACGGGGTGTCCTGGCAGAATTACTTGGCAGCCATGGATTAGATATAGGAATGTGTTGAGCTAGAGCTGAGATCTGAAAAGCGACGAGTTTGACAAACCCTACTATCCCAACCCTCGCCATACACCAATCCCGAAGAACCCAAAATGCCAAACTAGCAACATTAAAGGTATTGTAGTGGGTAGCAAATGTTTGTTGGTGCTTGTTTGGTGCGAGATCAAATCCAGCCTGTAACAACTCTAGCAATCATATTTTGCCCAAACCGTTAGCCCACAACCAGCTAGAGCAAAATACCACAACCACCTACACAATCTGTCAAAATCCCAACCACTAGACCATTGGGATAAAAGGGCTTGTTCAGTAGCGGGTCAGTGCCCTCATAACCCTCCAGGATAACGAGCTTGTAACCCTTCCCTAGGAACAATCGGGGATCACCAGTGCACCTCTGATACCCCCCCCGCACTGGGATGCCCGAAGTGCACACACTGGGATTTGAACCGGAGACCTTCGCTCTGATACCATGTCAGAATCCCAACCACTAGACCATTTGGGATAAAAGGGCTTGTTCAGTAGCGGGTCAGTGCGCCCATAACCCCCCAGGACAACGAGCTTGTAACCCTTCTCTAGGATCAATCGGGGATCACCAGTGCCTCTGATACAATCAACACTCCTCCTTGCTCGTGCTGGAGGTGGCTGAACACCACTGGGCAAAATCCTTCACTCCACTCCCCCTTGCCTAGGGAGGGGCGCCATCCACAGCATGATATCGTCAAGGCAGAGAAGCACCAACCCTCCCACATCTTGCTCAAGCACCATGCCAACATGGGGCTGCATCCCCATCAAGGACATGTGAACGCCGTGCCGCTCAAAAGGAAGGGGTTTGGTGAGTATGTCTGCTACTTGACGGTTGGTTGGGAACCACCAGAGGATCACCTCGCCGCTTGCCACCATCTCCCTAATGAAATACCACCGAACCTGCATGTGCTTGGTGCGGCCATGCAAGCATGCATTCTGTGCAAGGGCAATGACAGAATGGTAGTCCACAAACACAGGCACACCACCAGCAAACTCATGCCCAAACTCCCCAAACAAATGCTTCAGCCACACACCTTCCTGAATGCACTGACATATACTGATGTACTCACTCTCAGTTGTGGACAATGTAACCACCGGCTGCCTCTTGCTCTGCCAAGAGATGGCTGCACCATTAAGGCAATAGACATAGCCGGTGTGACTGTTGCGATCAACGGAATCTCCAGCATAGTCAGCATCACTGAAGCCCACCAACTCAACTTGAGGCTTGCCGTGTGCAGGGTAGAAGTTGCCTGACTTGACACAACCTTTCAGGTACCTTAGCACTCTCTTAGCAGCCTGTAGGGGAAATGCCTTGGGACAAGACACCACCTTGGACAGCTGTGACACCTTGGGGCTGTGTGGTCATGCTTGCATACATGAGAGACCCCACAATGCTTTGGTAGAGCTGGACCAGCTCATATCTCAGCTCATCTCCCACTGTTAGAATTTTCTCAAACTCGAGTATAATGTAGCCCTTAACCGTGGCTATTTTTCCCAATTTGAATCGTATCAAAATATGGAGTATAACTCGAGTTATGAATTTCAGCGCACTAGGGGGTATGCTGCCATAGAAACTTAACTCAATCACAATTATCTCACAAGTTCACACAAGAGAGTTAGAGTGGCAAGAACCAGGTAGAAGGGGATGAGGAGGACGAGAGGGAAGGTCCCTAGGGAGTCCCCAACCAAGGAAACCCCATACCACACAATTCCCCTCTCTATAGGCACCCCAACTTTGACATTTGTCACTTTCCCAACCCATGCCATCCACCTCACCCAACTTGGCCACACTTGCCAACCTGGTTTGGCTTCTCCCAACCACCTGGCATCATCTACAGTGGTGGGGACGAATTTCGCAACCCCAAATAGTCTATACCACATATGGAGTCACTCCACAAATTCCCATAGTCACCGCACCACAACCATAACTACAAACGATCATACATTTCTCGTTCTTGCTCCGATCGCGACGATTCTTGATTCGTCGGGAAGCTCTCAAACAGGGGAGTCACATCAGATATCTGCTCAAGCCAAATAGCATTCACACACACTCAGAAAATCCAAACCACACCAAACACAGATTCTTTCACACACCACCCATGCAACGCACGAACATGTGATGTGAGGCAGACAGACGTGAATGCAAATGATAGCATCACATAACAAACTCCCCCTCTGGCTGCCTACCATCATCCCACATGCCATAGCTCAAGCATGCACCCTCAATGCACACTCATTCCAGCAAGCTTCATCCCGTTCCAATGCTCATTTTCAGCCAGGCGCTTGGTGAGAAGGTCTGCCGCCTGATGTTGGGTCTTCACTATCTCCAACCGCACTTCCTTGTCCAGGAGCCTCCTCACCCAGTGCCACTTGGGCCTGATTTGCTTTGTCGGCCCATGAAGACATGCATTCTTGGCCAGCTTCATTGCTGACTCATTGTCGGCTCCCTCATCGGCGCTGTACATGGCAAATTTTGCGTGATTGCCGGTGGATGTACCTGGACAGCCGAAACTCACGGCTCCGGCACGAATCTGTAATAGCGTGACTTCAGCCTACACTCTCGTTACAAGTCTGATCAATCAGCGAACACTTGTAAAAAAACGCTGGAAAATCAGCCAAAACATTAAAAAAAAAACCTGAACAATCAGCCAAAACATTACAAAAAAAACTGAATTATCAGCCAACACGTCGCCCACATGTCTGGGAAATCAGCGTCCAGACCCTAAATCAGCTTTTTTTCGCTGACTTCTGAGGCCCTGGTTCTCTCACATTCGCACGCGCTGCTTTTGTCAATATATTACACTTGGTAGCGTCGGTAGCGCTCGGTAGCGCTACCGTTCCGCTAGACGACGCTACCGAGTGAGTCAGCATGCTGACCGCTGGCATGAAAAAACTAAAACCCATTCGGACTCCATGCCATTCGGGAGCCTCAACCCTAAAATTTTAGGGTTGATGCCTCCCGAATGGCATGCCTTCCGAGTGGGTTTTATTTTTTTCCTTGCCCGCTGACTCATTGCACTGCGTGCTGACGCACGCAGTGCAATATATCTACCAAACCTTGTACCAGGCCGAGTCGGCCTCCTTGCCAGCATTGCTCGTAACATCGCGTTAACGTTGCATATTTCGTTATTCACTGTCAATATTTTGTCCCTCTATGCAATCCTCGCTAGCTCGTTCGATTGCACTCGTAATACAGACCCATTACTGAGATAACATGAGATGGTATCCAGAAAGAGTCATTCTGTTCATTTGCATTTGCTGCTTGTACAACAACTACCCATCTCAGAAGTTTTAATTGCGATATGCCAGCCTGACTCTTTTAATAATCCATAGCCGTATAACGAGGATAGCAGTCATAGCGCACTAGCTGTCATGAGCCCAGCCAAACTCCTCCTTTCCCCTGGGCCGGCCTCCACGCGCAGCTGAACCTGCACCGGAAAGCCCCTCGATGTAGCGCCCGGAATTGTATGTCTCCGTTTTAGTCTCCCCATTCTCAGCCATGGCGGGGAATCTGGCTCATCGGGACTCGCACTGTCAGGCGATTGTGCCTCTTGTCGCGTCGCTCCTCGTGCTGTCGCTCGCCGTGTCGCATACCGTCGCCGAGTCCGATTTCAGTTCGCAGAAGAGGTAACAAATGGTAATTTTCTTGGTTTACTTCGTTTAGGAAGAGCAGTGCATGCTCGACGGCCCTGGCCTTTGTTCATTACGGCGATTCAACGCACCCCGAAATTCTGGAAACTCTAGAAACTAGACATTCCGTGTGCTTTCGTGTGGTGACGGTGAGGCGGCAGTTCGCGCTTCTTGAAACACTAAAACTGTCGCACATAAGGGGAAGGTTCGCACGTAGGGGAAGGTTCGCACATAAGGGGAGGGTTCGCACTGATTCGTGTCAAAAGGCAGCAGAACGCGCCCCATTTGAGACGCTAGAAACGTGGCTTCGAGAAGAGGGGCCGTGATTGCTGGATTAGAGACCATGGGCGAGTGCGCGGGGCGGGAGAAGCTGAGCTCTGAAAGGGGAAGCGGGAAGATGGGGAGGCGGGGGGATGGGGAGGCGTGGCGATGGGGAGGCGTGGCGATGGGGAGGCGGGGCGATGGGTAGGCGGGGGAAGATTGCGCGGGGCGAGTGCGCGAGGCGGGAGGAGCTGAGCATTGAGGTTGACGGTATGGGGGAAATGCGGTGGAACGTGGAGGCAGGGGGGGCGTGTGACGAGGAGGATGGGGAGGCGGGGGAGTGTAGGGGGATGGAGAGGCGAAGGGGGGGGGGGGGGGGGGTGACTTCAAGTGGGGTTGAGGTGGAGGGAGGGAGTAGATCCTGTGGTATGGGTGAATGCTGGCAAGGGAGAGACATGCCATCATCATGACATCACGATGACATCACCATGACATCATGATGACGTCACCTCCATGGCACTATCACTACGCGCCTCACACAGCTTGCCCTGTTTCATTACATCCACACATCCGTGCCACCTTATGCCCATGCTGCTGTATCCCTTCCCCTCTCACTCCACCACCCCACCCTCACACCACTCCTCACCACTCCTCACCACCCTCTCTCACTCACACCACTCCACACCTCTCGTCACGCCATCCCTATGTGACATGCCATCTGCATCCATGCATCACCCCATGGCAAGCAGACTCGTTGCTTCTGGCGATGAGCAGCAGCAGCAGCTGCAGCAGCAGCAGCATGAGGAAGGGAACGCGACGAGCTCTCAAGCAGGACCAGGCATCCCCATTGACCCCTCTCGCATCACTCGCCTGTCATGGCAGCCCAGGTGAGCAGACAGGATGGCTGGTTAGAGGCGAGATGCAAGTGGGTGGTGCGATGCAAGAGAGGCGAGTTCGCTCTGGGTGCAGGCAGGGATGGAGGGCATCCCAATGATCCCTCTCGCATCGCTTGCCTTACGAGGCAGCCGAGGTAAGGTGAGCGGACAGGAGTGCTGGTGAGAGGCGAGTGGGTGGTGAGAGGGAAGCAGGTGAAAACAGGGGATGTGAGTCGAGAAGAAGTGGTGTGTGAGTTGTGTGAGGGGCGAAGGAAAGGAAGAGTGAGGGAAGAACAAGGTGAGTTGCTTCCTAGAAAAGCTCTGTCTCACTGTTTGCTTTTTCTCCCTGCTCCCAATTTAGTCAGAGTGTGCTACTGCATGCCAATTTTCTCTAACCACAACACGCTTGCAGTGCATCATTGCTATCAACATTGACGCTCCGTCCGATCAACACTTCTTTGGGATGGCATAAATGACGTACGGTGCCGTACGTTGCCGCCCAACGCGGCCCAATTCCGTCCAATGCCGCCCATGCAGGGCCTTTCTGTACTCGGGCTTTCTCTCCCACGACGAGTGCGATCACCTCATCACTCTCGTGAGCCTCTCTTTCCTTCCTCGTTCTTTCCCTCCTCGTTCTTTCCCTCCTCGTTCTTTCCCTCCTCGTTCTTTCTCAGCACTCCTTTCTGTTTACTCCTCCATGATTCTCAAAACCCTGTTGCTCTCCTTTCCTTTCTCTGCTTTAGCTTTCTCATCCCTCCTTTCCCTCATCTTTTCTCACGTCTCTGCTGTCCCTGCTCTCCGTCGCACACTCCTCGCCTTCCCCCCCTGCTTCCCCCATTCCCCCCCTGCCTTCATTCGATTACGTGCAACATCTCTTCCTTCTCCTCCCGACTCGCTCCTCCCAAACAAGTCTGTGACAACCCCTCCCACCTCCTCCCCCCCCCCCTCCTTCGCCCCCCCCTCCCAGGCACGCGACAAGGTGGCACGGTGGACAGTGGCGGAAAATGAGTTGAAGAATGGCGTGCTGAGTGAGATGAAATCCGCACAAGCTCCTCCTTCCTCCCACATTCTCTCCCCACATCCCCCTCAACTCTCCCAGGCACGCGACAAGGTGGCACGGTCGTGAGTGGCAGACAATCAGTCGAGCAAGCTCACGCTGAGTGAGATACGATCTGCACGAGCTCCTTCCTCCCACCCACCACACAACCCCCACACCCCCCGCATCCCCCGCATCCCCAACACCCCTCACAGCCTTCAACACCCATCAGGCGCAAGACAAGGGAAACACGGTGGTTGGTGGCAGCTAGTGAGTCGAGCAAGAGCGTGCTGAGTGAGAGATCAGACCTGCACGAGCTCCCGCCATTCTCTCCCCACACCCCCTACATCCCCACACCCCCCGCATCCCCACACCCCCTACATCCCCACACCCCCTACATCCCCACACCCCCCGCATCCCCACACCCCCCACATACTCTCCCCGCATCCCCCGCATCCCCACAACTCCCGCATCCCCACACCCTCCATACCCCCCGCACGCCCTCTCAGGCACGTGACAAGGTGACACGGTCATCAGTAGCAGACAACAAGTCGGGCAAGAACGTGTTGAGTGAGATCCGCACGAGCCCCTCCCTCCCAAGACAACACACCCCCCGCACCCTCCACATCCCACCTGCCACCCTTCCTCCTCCCTCCCTCCCACCAGGCGCGTGACAAGGTGACACGGTCGTCGGTGGCAGACAACGAGTGGGGCAAGAGTGTGTTGAGTGAGATCTCCTCCCTCCCCTCACACACCCTCCCCCTCTCCCAGGCCCGTGACAAGGTGACGCGCTCATCAGTAGCAGACAACAAGTCGGGCAAGAGTGTGTTGAGTGAGATCCGCACGAGCTCAGGCACGTTTCTCAACAAGTATCAGGACGATGTGGTCAAGCGCATAGAGGAGCGCATCGCCGCTTGGACCTTCCTCCCCAAAGGTACGCTTGCTGCCGTCCTCTCACCAGCTCATGCACGTCTTTCTTTGAAGGCACCCTTCTCCTCCTCCACTCAGGCACGTTCCTGAACAAGTTTATATATCTCTCCCTCTCGTCCTCTCTCTCCCTTTGCACATCAGAGCACGGTGAAGCCATTCAAATCCTCAAGTACGAGATAGGGCAGAAGTACGACGCACACTTTGACTATTTCTTCGATGCAGTCAACACACAGATGGGCGGGCACCGGGTGGCAACAGTTCTCATGTATTTGACCACGGTGGAGGAAGGAGGAGAGACGGTGTTTCCCAGTTCACAGGTGTGTTGCTGGAAAGAAAGGGGGTTAGGCGTGTCAGCGCACAGATGGGCGGGCACCGGGTGACGACGGTGCTCATGTATCTGACCACTGGGGAGACCCCCTTTCCCAGTGCACGTTTCAGGCGCCTTTTCAGTGCCTCGTGTGCTGGTGGCGTGGATTGTGGCATTAGCAGGCGGTGCAAGGCAGCACAAGAATGGGCCGTCACAGAGTGGCTGCAGTGCTCATGTATCTTAGGAGTGTTGAACAAGGGTAAGAGACAGTGTTTCCCAATGCACAGGTATCATGCTGCTGGTGCTGCAAAGAGGGGGTGTAGGCGTGTCAGCGCACAGATGGGCGAGCACAGGGCGACGGTGCTCATGTATCTGACCACGGTGGAGGAAGGAGGGGAGACAGTCTTGCTCTAGTTCACAAGTGTGTGTCACCAGTGGTTCATGTGGTGGGAGGGAGAGAGGGGTTCGGCATGTCAACACACAGATGGGTGGCAACGGCGCTCATGTATCTCACCACCGTGTGGCAACGGTGCTCATGTATCTCACCATCGTGTGGCAACGGTGCTCATGTATCTCACCATGGTGGAAGAAGGGGGAGAGATCATGAGCACCGTTGCCAGTTCACAGGTGTGTGCTTGTTGCCTCGTGTGGTATTGGTGGTTGGTACTATGGGACAGCAGGAGTAGGCGTGTCAACACACAGATGGACAGCCACTGGGTGGCCACGGTGCTCATTTATCTCACCATGGTGGAAGAAAGGCCTATTCTCTCTTCTCTCCTCTCCTCATTCCCGCTGTCCCTTCGCTCTCTATTCTCCCTCTGTCCCCTATCCCCTCTCCCCGCCCGTCGACATGCTCGATCATCACTATCTGCCCGCACCACTTCTCATCATCCAACCCAGGCCTCCTATGGACGTCACTGGGTCTAACTGTGCTCACATAGTGGACCAACCTCTTGGCCGCTTCTAGCTGCTCATAACTGGGGCGTGAGACCACACTAGCAAGCCTGGATGTAGCAAAGGCAATGTCAGGCCGCGTGTGGTTAGCCGCATAGTTGAGTGCCCCAACCATGGAATGAAACAGCTTCCTGTCACTTTCACCCACCACCTCCTCATTAGCACAGGGCTCCACAGTGAAACCCGAAGGTAGTGGGGTGGCTGGCTTTCCTCCATGTTGCAGCCCATACTTCTCAGCCAGCCCCTCACAGTATTTTCTCTAGTGCAACCTCAACACTCCCTTGTCAAGGTCTCTCTCCACATGCATCCCAAGGTAATACTTCACATCTCCCATCTTTGAGCATTTGAACTGCATCTCCAGCATCTCCTCCACACGCTCAATCATTGCAGACGACTCAGAGAAGCGAAGGATGTCATCCACGTACACCAAGAGCATGAAGAACTCGTTCTTCTCTTGCAGCAGGAGAAGACTGTGGTCACATTCACTCTTCTTGAAACCCCCAATCAGCAGTGTCTCCTCCACGTTGTGGTACCATGCGCGAGGAGCCTGCTTCAGGCCATAGATGGCCTTCTTCAACCTGCACATCCAACCCCTCAGGCTCCTGCATGTACAGCTCCTCCATAATTATCTCATTGAGTAAGGCAGTAGTGATTTCCATCTGCTTGATCCTCCATCCACGGTTTGCAGCCGCAGCCAACGACACCTTCAGTGTCGTCCCTTTCCCCACAGGAGCAAAAATCTCATCGAAGTCCTTCCCCTTTGTCTGCTAAAACCCCTTTGCCACAAGCCTTGACTTGTAGCGGATCAGCTCCCCATCAGGTCCATACTTGTACTTGAAGATCAGCTTCGAAGAGATTGCCTTCTTCCCAGAAGGCAGCTCACACAGCTCGCATGTCTCATTCTCCAAAAGAGAGTCATACTCCTCCGTCACAATCTGCTTCCACTTCTCAACATCAGGCCCGCTCAGTGCTTCAGCTAGCGTCTTGGCCTCAGGGACGGCTGCCCAGTAGTAGTGTGCTATCTCATCCTCATCACACTGCTCAGCCACAATCCCAGCCCGTACCACCTTTGGCTTGCCAAAACTGGGATAGGTCAGCCTGTTAGGAGGGCGCACATCCCTCCTAGGATGGTCAGGCGGACGTTCGGCACGTGGTGGAGCATCTTGCTGCTGCTGCTGCTGCTGCTCTACCTCAGGTTCTCCCCCATCTTCAGTCACCCCAGAGATCTTCTCATCTGAGACAGTGACCTGCACTTGCCTCGAAGGCCACTGCACCTCATCGGCCTCAATGATCAGCGGTATAGTAGGAAGCTTCTGCTACTGCTGCTTCCACTCCTTGTAGTACAAGGACTCAAGGAACTTCACATCCCTCGAAACAGTCAGCTTCAGGCTGGTCAAGTCCCACACCAACCAGCCCTTGTGATCCTTGAAAATCCCCAAGTGCACACCCCATCTCCCAGAAGCTTCCAACTTTCCTCTCTTCTCCTTAGGCACGTGAAACACCACCATGCAGCCGTAGACTCTCAACATGTTGACAGCTGGTGCACTCCCATACCACTTGGTGTAGGGGACCCACTGCTTGTTCCCCAACAGTCGCCATCACCCTGTTCTTCACAAGAGCGACCTGCCGCAGTGCAGTCACCCAAGACAGATCCGGCAGCCCTGCACGCCCAAGAAGAGTGCGAGCACCTTCCTGCCGGGTCCGGTTGAACCGCTCAGCCATAACATTCTGCTGAGGGTTGTAGGGCATAGTGAGCTGATGCTGAATGGCCTTCTTCTTCAGCACCGCTTCAAACTCATTGCCAATGAACTCTCCTCCGTTGTCGGTGCGGATCACTTTGACCTTGTGTCCGCTCTCCCTTTGAGCTCTCGGCATCCACTCCTTGAGAACAGCCGCTGCCACCTTCCCCTTAGTCTTGAGAGGGTACACCCTCACGGCACGCGTATGGTCGTCCACAATGGTTAAGAAGTAGCGGCTGCCCGAGAGAGAAGGGGCCCTCGTAGGGCCCACCACATCCACGTGCACAAACACGAGTGGGGCCTTGGCTGGTGCTGTACTGCTGCTGAAGGGAAACTTGGTGAATTTAGTTTCAAGGCATGTAGGGCAGCTCCCAATCTCCTTTGCTGCCCCCTTCACCTCCAACCCCTTCAAGCTCCCATCCTTCACTAACTTCTACAGCATAAGAAAATTCACATGACTCAGCCTCTCGTGCCACGTCTCCCAATCAGCCTCACCACTCCCAGATGAAGCCTTTGCCCATGCAGATGTCGCATCTACACCAGCAAGCACCTCACCATGTGGTTGATGTGGCTGCTGCACCTTCTTAACTACATCCAGGGCCCCATCAGTTGACACATTCTTCTCTCCTTCCGCAGTTGCTTTAGCGGTCGCTGCTGCCGCTGCTGTTGCTGGTAGTTTCCCGTTCCAAGGGATAATGGGCAGCTACCATAGGTCCTTGATGCAGCTGCTCTTCTCCTCCAAATACCACAGCAGCAATTTCCCAAGCTTCGCACGGCAGCTGGTTGGACTGAAGGTAACTTTAGCATTGCTCTTCTGCAGCCGGCGCACAGAAAGAAGGTTAGTGGACAAACCTTCAACTAGCAGTACATTTCCTAGCCCCACAAGCTCCTCATTGGCTCCCATCACCTTGGCATTCCCAACACCAATCACAGGGAGCAAAGCACCTGAAGCGGCAGCCACAAACTTTATATTTCCAGGGGGCTTTTATGTCAACGGGAGTTGTTGTTGGCCCTGTCCTCGCTTGGGTGTGAGGAGGGCAGCCGACCTGCAACAGTGGGCGAGCTGGTCGACGGGCCTGGTCGACCTGCACAAGGGTAACTGCAAGGGCGCCGACTTTGGGAGGGCGCCAACTTCGGCTGGTCGACCTGGGAGGTCAACCAGTGGGGGGGTGTCGACTTGGGTGACGCCGACCAAGGGAAGCCGACTGGGTGTGGTCGGCTGACAGGTGTACTGATCGACCTGGAGTTGGTCGACCAGGTGGGTTGTCAACCTGGTGTTGGTCGACCTAGGGAGTGGTCGACCTGGTGTGGTCGACATGAGGTGGTCGTCGACCTGGGCGGTCGACGGGCCTGGGATGACACACCTGGTCGACATGGTTATCTGGTCGGCCTGGTTGCCTGGTTGACCAGGTTACCCGGATGACGAAGTCTGCGAGGTTCGCGACTGTCGCCCAGGTAGATTGGCAATGTCGACCTGCGGTTCGGTGGCACGTGGTCAACAGGACTCCTTGGGTGCAACCGTCGACATGTGGTTGACTTCGCACCTGCGCAATGTGCGTGGCGGTGCATGTCGTTACCGTCACCTTGCACCTGCGAAGTAGGTACGCACACATGAGCACGTGTGGTTACCTGTGGTGGCTTGTTGGCACGCCAGCCTTGCAGGTCGTCTGAGGACGCTTGAGGTCGACCAGCTGGCAAGTCGCCTTCGTGTTGAGCTCGTGGTCGACTTGTATGCTAGGCTTCTTATATAGCCCACCTTGCCAGTCTAGTGACTACCATTGTTCTCAATTTTTTCTAGTGAAACTCTTGCGGTTTTGCCCTGTGAACGCACAAGGGCTAGAGAACGACTAAGTGAACGAACGCAGAGATCCCTCCTACCCCGTGCCTAGCCCGTAGTGTAGCTCCCGTTGATAGAGTTATCTCTGCATGGTGCGGTGAGCATGGACGACACACGACTTACCTTTCAGTCAAGTCGACGTAGTGGTCACTTACCTAATTTGTGTTCGTAGGCCGGCAGCTGTGTAGTAGTCACTATGGTAGGTGCCGTAGTTGACACGGGGGTGGTGGACACCCTGGAGGCACGGCTGGATAACGTGAGGAGACGTCACGAGGCGAACGAGTACGGCGACCTGCCCTGGGCGGTCGTCGAGGCTGGCATCCGTGCCGTGTGGGCAATAGAGCACCCTTCTCGACCTGTCTCTCCTCGACCGGTGAACACTGAGTGTGGCGTTGACGCGGGTGTCAATGCCGGTGGTGGTCAATTCGGCAGCAGTGCGGGAGGCACGTCGAGGCAGCGAGGAGTGATTCACGCCGATGAAGTCGGCGGCGTTCAGGCACGAGGGATGCGGTCGTCAGCGGCCGCAGGCTCCTCGCAAGGCGACGGCGGAGGACGATGAAGCAGTTTGTCGCGAATGTCGGCGACCCACGTGACAGCGGGCGGGATTGCACCGAGCTACGGCTACTTCAAGTTTATGCCGGACAGGATCTTGGTCACCCCCTTGCTTGTTGGTCAACCTGATATACTCACTTGGAAGGAAGCCATCGAGCCCCAGTTGGAGATGGCCGGGCTGATCGGTTTCGCCAGGGGCACTGTGGCGACGCCGGAGGAACACTACCCCGACTTGCATGCGGAGTTTCGCGCTATGCAGTTGCTGACCTTCACGGTCATCTCGCGGTGCTGCTCGCCGGGCATGCAGATTGCCTTGAAGTTGTGCAGGGAGT